TGAAGGAAAGAAGTGTAAACATAACACTTCGTTTTAAATTAGAACTTCTACTACATGACATTCATTTTTTTTTTTTTTTTCAAATCAGTTTTTGCCATTGGCGTGTCTCTGTCGTAGAACATCTGATTTGCCACGCAGACAGCCTGGGTTCGGTTTTCACTGGTACTGAAGTTTTTTATTTATTTCATTGGCAGCTTTCCTGATTTTGTGGTCACCGATGAAAGGATGTTTTTTCGTTCACAACCCGAGACGCCGGCATTGACGCCAACATCAGAATTTTTGCCGAACAAGCTTTTTAATGCTATCGCGTTCAAATAATATACAGTGCATAAATATAAGTATAGGTGAAGAGACATTCATTTTTCTGACAACATAAATGGAGATCATGATCAAGCCACTCACTGAAAGGTAATTGTAATCTCCAACAAAAATAGCCCAGGAGAGTGACCGGACGAGCAAAACGAGTTGAGACCATATTACTGTAGTTGAGGTTTAAAATCTGCCATTCTGAACTGAATCATTTGCATCCCATAATTTGTCCTTGATTGAGGATTAAACCAATAGATGTTCACTGTGACAGGCCTCTAAAGAAATCCGACGCAATTCAAAAGGTGGGAGCAGGCTTTGCATCGCAAAGATTGAAAGCTCTCAGCCAAGTATGACGTTCACTTTGAGAATGACGACATGGTAACACACTACCGTCATATTTTGCTGAACAAATAGTTTTGATTTCACGTGAAGAGTGGGAGCTCGTGCCCAGTACCCTCCTTTACTTGTTCCCACCAATTCCACCCCATATATCGAAGCCAAAATATTCATAACCAAGGTGCCAATCCTCCCCAAAACTCATGGCGTCCTTCGAATGTCCAGGGCCCAGTTTGAAAGAGCCATGAGAAAGAGAACAGAAAGATGAAAGGCACGCGATGAACAACTCTGTCGATACACATTGACAGTTGCATCACATTGTTGCACCACATTGACATTCTATTAATTGTCCACTGTCATGCTGCCTTCAAAGCAGTGGATTTCTTTGCAGTGGATACATTTTCCTTATGAACCAGCACAACTGTAATAAGTGGTCATGTTTTACGACTGACCAGGTTTTGTTAGATTTCCTCCATATTACAGCAGTAAATATTTTTCTCGATCTCGGTGTTCTCATTTCTGAACGTTAGAGCATGTAACGGGGTGTGGCTCATGTCAGTGTCACTTCTTCCCTGTGCCCCTTAGTGCACCAGGAAGTAACACACCTTGAGTGTACTACTACATCTGTGGGAATGTTTGCAGAAAATCTTAATAAGTGACAGCACGCAAAGATGCCCTCTAGCATCTCTTGCAAGTACCAATGGGGCAGCCGTGCCAAAACCACATAAAAATGCACTTACTTCGATGAGGCGTTTTCAAGAAGGCTGCTTACATGATCCCTTACGAGGCCTTCTTTCTATATTAATAGCAATCGAAAAAGCTGGCTAGAGGCATTAGATGAAAACCCCATAGTTCGTGACCTCTTTTGGATTGTGCTTGAAAATTTGGAGTGGTTGCCACTACATATCACCCATGATCAGAACGTGATGGCTAGAGTAGTGATGTTTCACATTGTGATGGGAATGTCCTTTCTTTCCAAGAAAACCAATCAGGAGCTTTCTGAAAAAGGTGGAAAATGGTAGAAAAAAGGTGAAGTTGCTGTAACATTTTGCACCCTCCTTTCAATGGATGGCCGTGGCAAAGACTTGTCTGGTGGACAGTGTAAAGCATGGGTACTGTTTTTTCGAGAATGTCTTTTTTGCTACGAGTTGAAAACACACAAGTACTGTTTTTCTAGAGCGTTTTTGTATTCCAGTAAGTCAACTTGTTTGAGGCTTTTACAGATGTTTTGGGTCGTTTTTCGTCTAGGTAAGACGCCTGTGGTTAAAATGGTAGCAGTCATCATAGAAACTACACTGAAAATGCTCATTCACCTAGCACCTCCTGTGCTTGGAGGTTAAACGTAATACAGACAGCTCAAATATAGGCACGGAATTGATTATTAGCCAATTTTCAATGATCAGTGCATCCGGGCCACTGTATACAGGCGACCTTGTGCGTATCCACATAAGCAGCCCACGAATGCAACATGAGAATGTCGACTGGAATTAGGGTGAATGTTTAAGTTTGATAACAGTATAACAAGAAAGTCGCCGCGAGAAACAGCACGGTGGACTGGCGTAGTTCGCCGTCGCAGCAAATGATGCGCCGAGAGTAGTGCAAGATCTGACTGCAGCGCTGCTAGATCTCGCGTCCGCTGTTTGTCCCACCCTCCTCCGCTGGTTGAAATGAGGAACATTGAAACTGAGTTTATTCCAGTAACATTGTGTCACCATACTGTTAGGCCGCATATGTCGCCTTCCGTAAAGGTGGTTTCATTGAAGTAAAGGGGCGCTAAGCTCTCAAAACACCTATCCATGGGAAATTCACACTTGCAGAGCCCCACTTCAGGGTAAGTGAACATATTACCCTTGCGTCGATTCACCATTTTTCAAGTTTGTGGGAATTCAGGCTAGCCCGCTGCCATCGCGCGGGCTTTGCCGCCTTTTCTGCCGTTCTCACGTCCCGACATGACTCCCCTCTTCCGCTGTCTGCTGCGCTGAGAAAGCGAGGAATGACGTTTTACCCCTCTCACCCGGTAGCGGATGTCGACTGTGGCGCTGCGCATGGAGTCTCCTGATAGGTTTCGCGCGCGTGCGTCTGGAGTGGATCAGATACTCTCCAGGACAGCTGACGGTGAGCCACGCAGTCTTTTCTGTCCGCCGACTCCCGTCACTCGGAACTCGTCGGACTTCGCTGACGGCGCCTCGCGCTCGAAGTGAATGCTCACTTTTTGTTGCCCCTCTGCATACGCTCGGCCGAAAGGTGGTACGGTGTCCTATTGCGTGGCCAAGCTACGCCGACCCGTCTCCCTCCGAAGCCAACGTGGGTGCCATTGCCCTCACTCGAGCAACCGGGCCTTGGTCCCGGTGTCTCCGTGAATCATCTTTACCACGGAGACGTGCTCGTGGCACCCTGTGTAGTACTTTTATGCTTGTGGCGTGGATAAGCCCATTCGCTTTCCTGCTGCGCCTTTGCAACGGGCTGTACTGTATTTGGTGTTGCCACAGACAATAAAGTGTTGCGACCCTAAGCAGTATTGTGTTCTCGCCACGGCGACAGTTAACGCGTGCCCTGCGGCTCGCTAAGACCGGACCCACGCTAGTGGCCGTGCTCCTTCGGGATACGTGTACACTACAAGTTAAAAAGCTTGTTATACTGGCTTATATACTCTAAGTATAGCAACTTTTAAAACGTAACATATTTTACAGGTTTATTGCTAGCATTTTACTAAAATTTAAATCCTGCTACTATTTAAAGTTGTTTCCACTTTCCTTCAACCAAATATGGCATTCACTGAGGCCTTGTTTCATTTAAAAAATAATGTTAATTAGCTTGTATGGTTGCTTAGGTCAATATAGATTAGTTAGTGCATGACAAAGAAGCCCATTTTATTTATAATGTGTGATATATACTATTTGAATTCAACTTGAAATTATTCTACCAAAAGCAATATTCGCTACGAATTCACTTCGAACTTGAAATTCACTATTCATACAAACTAATGAAAGAGATTGTGTTCCATTGGCATGTTTTAATAATGGAAAAAAGTGCTCGAGGCCAGTCACATAGCCCAAACACATACTTACTAAGAAAATATAAAAAGAGACAGTTATGTGCGGACTCACAGGCTCCATGCACCTGGGAGTTCGAAACCCCTGGTCTAATCTATGTATCTAATTTTACTAAATGCTGCCTGTGCGTAATATTTAAATCTCGGAATCTCACCTTGTGCTCATCGACAGTTCTTGTGCACATTGATTTGGTGCGGTTACACTAAATGCATTGATGGTTCTTGGACTTGACCTTAAATTCTTTTATTTAAATTATTCCGTTGGGCATACTAGCCCTTCGGAACCGGTCAGCTGGTCCAACAGTGGCATGCGTAACCGGTCGACAGATGGAAGTCATACGAGAGGCTGTTGCATAGTTCATGATTCGATAGTGCAGTGATATGTCGCACCTCGTGATCTGAGAAGAGGCGCAGACAGCAACATGAGGCTGATGCGATGTACACACTTTTCCCATGAGCACTCGGTGGTGGCACTCTGAAAAGAAAGGTGTACTAACGCATGCCATGCCACATGCACTACCGAGCAGTTCACTGAGTCATGATAGTGTTGTCAGCGATCGAATGGTCTGACACAGTAGCTGCTATCATGCATTACTGGTGCACAGTTGTAGTAAAGCTCTGTGCTAGGGGAGGTGTTTCTTACTTGCAAGAGGTTTGTGGGCATCTTTTTTCTCATTTCACCATGGCTGAAAGTGTGTCATTTTGTGGCTAACCCCATATCTAGCCAATCTATGTGGTCACTAGGGCGAGGTTCAAGTTCTGTCCTTTGGCAGCCCTGCTAGGTCGCGGCTAGCTAAACGTAGCACTGCGGATTGTAATGGAAGTGTGCATTACCATCATATCTCAACAAGTGCCTCCCCTATGGTTAAATATTGTCAGATAAGATGTGTTGGGGCTTTGCTTAGTCATGGACCAAGCTTCAAGATTGTGGCAGAAGACCCGCTAAGAATAAAAAATGCACACCTGTACTTTTAATGAGATCCTGTACTGAATACGAACACATATAGAGATTTTACTAAATCAGGGGGAATCCTCATGCAAAATTTCATGCTTTATGACTAAGGAAGAAATCCATTTTTCAAATGTTTGGACCACTTGTGACCACGCAGAACGCAACCCTGAGGCGCTGCACTGTAAAAGTACCAAGACACTATCGACATATCGAAAGTTTCTCAGAACTTGGGTTCCTGGGAAACATTGCTGCAGGATTCTGTAGTGGAGAAAAATGGGGGAATAAAATGGGAGAGGGTGCTTATTCGGTGGTAGTATATTGTTGGTTTCTATGCTGGTACCCTCACTGCAGGCGGCACAGCAGCGTGGAGGTCTGGAGCTCCATTCGGCTCATCTCAGAGGGCTACCCAGGTGACTCGCCCGACGGCTTGCACACGGGTCCGCTGGCTGTGAACTACGTAAGCACTTGGTGTTAAAACATGCTATTGGCTTTTGAGGGCCTGATAATCCAAAGAAAAAAACATTCTGAGAAAAGTGCCCATCACTACGACCACAACTTATCATGGAAATTTGGGCAAATGCTTGAAACAAGCTTTGTTTTTTTTTTAACTTGAAGTAGTATGTCGTACTGACCTGTGTAAGCATCCACATCAGCTGGATTAGCAGGAAGGTCCAACAGTCGTCACAGGGTCCGCTTTTTTCATCAATGTTTACATTCTATTTTTCGTTAGAGCAGTGCAGGCAACAAGACGAATGAACCTTGTTATGTCTCTTTCTTAGGCCATGGCCTTTAAAATCTTGCTGCAGTGGCAGCACATGTGTATCCAATGTGTGGAAGGATAATACTGTATTTATTAGATTTTAAGCACCCCATTTGTTTCACAATTACAGTATTAAAAGTTAAGGGGGGTGCTTAGATTAGAAAAATCTAAAAATTGCACAGCCCAACCCCATTTTGTGATAACATATTAACGAGGTTGATACAATAAAGTGTATTTTGATTAGAAAACAATGAAAAGAAAAAAACAGGTGCACACTCTGAACCCACCACTTCTGTATCAGGTCCGTCACTATCACTGTCGCTCGAGTCTGTCGCACCATTTGAGTCATCACTCTTGGTGTCCCATAGCAGCTCGTCCTCGGTGCCATTCAAGTTGTTCGTGATGCAAGACTTTTTGAACGACTTCGCGACAATGGCGACTTTCATTCGTTTCCACGCGTCCAAAATCCATGTTGCCGTAGCAGACGGGGACATTTTCTGTGACTTCCCCGTCGCCTTTTTTTTTTTGCGGTCAAGGTACTGGATCCACTCTTTGTACTCCTGTCGAAAGTGGGCCTTGAACGGCTTGTTCACAGAAATGTCCAGGGGTTGGAGCACTGGTGTTATGTCTCCTGGAATTATGACATGGACGCAGCTGCGTTTTAGAAGCTTCGTCTTCACATCTGGAGTGAGATGGCCACTAAAAGCATCTAAGGCAAGCATGGACCACGTACCTTAAACTCCTCCACTCAGTGCCCCCAGGCACTGCTGCTGCTCATCCTTGATCCAATCTTCCATTAGCTCGGCTGTCATCAATCCTTCCTCCCGGACTCAGTCGATGGTGTTCTTTGAAGAACACTTATTGTTGGGCATGCTTTTCTTTTTCAGAATTGTGTAGGGCGGAAGATTGCTGTAATTAGGGGTGAGACAGCTGTGCCTATTGCGAATTTTTATACGTTTCCGTTCTCTTGCGGCAAGCTGCTCCAAAAAGACAAAAATTGCGAAGAACTGCGCCGAAGGGCTCTGAAACAAGCAAGAATTTTGATGCCAACCTTAGCTTTAGTGGGGAAAAAAGGCTGAGTTGACTACATGATTTTCCAAGCAGCGCCAGGAATACCAAGATAAGAACGTGCCCTAGCATGTTCTTTACTTGACACCTTCTTGTCATGAAGGCTCACATGGTGCCACCATAACCGCCGGTGGCTGTTGTAAATATGCATGACCCCGCTAAAATGTGGGGCCGTGCATCGAGCGTGCTGCTTCTGTAGCTTGACTGTGTGTTCTGGCACCACAGTCACTTCACGAAAACCACCGAGTTAGTCATCCTAACTGAGTGGCATGTGTAGTGGGATTCTGACTCTCAGGCTCTTTGTTGTGCGTAACACGTTCCTCGGGTTATTGCGGTTTTTATGTGGACACTGCTGCGTGCGGTCATCTACACGCACGCGTTCTCCACATTGGTGTCTACAGGTAGCGAAAGACCCACTTAGTAGCAGCACTAAATACTCGTCTACAATGCACGGTATGGAACTTGCACGATTTGTGAACCCGTGGTGCATAGAACCCGTGGTGCATAGAACCCGTGGTGTTCAAACCAGTTCAAACGGACACCTCAGGGCTTTTTTCGTGACTCATGACGCATCGGCGATCATGTGGCACAGTTTTCATGAACGGTGATTTGCAATACCGCTTCGTATTGTAATCGAAACTTGCAACGAACACTTAAGAGGCATGGCTGCGTTCCGGCTCAGGGCTACATGAGTTTTAGGCATAGCTTTACGTTCGACCGGTGTTTCGGTTGGCGGCCGTTTCGCAGTGTGACTGGCATATTTATTTATTTTTTTCTCACTAAATCTGGCCTCTGTTCGTTCGGCGGTTTGTTTGCGTGGACCGCGAGGTGGTGCGGGTGTCAATTGCAAATTGATGGCTATCGATAAAAGAAAATAGAACAGGTTAACATGGGCAGTACTAATAACGTATGGTCGTGTGCGTCGAGAGGCGTTATCACCTAGTACCATCCACTTATCACCTAATGCCATAGGCACGCGCTTTATGAGATAGTTGATGCTGCGAGGTTTCTTGGCATTCGCGCCGCACTCTTGAAAGTGGTCCTTCACGAGTTGGCTGTTAACGGTGATGCATCGTGCTTTTGTTGTCGGTTAAAAGTTTGCAGTACACTTGGCCCACCTTTACCTAACTATGATTCTTGTGCAATCGCAATTTTTAAAATTCTTTATGAATGTGATGCGTTTCTCTTTTCAATCAAGTCTTTCCGGTGAACCTAGTTTTTAAAACCTTTTTGAAATTATTATTTCACGTTTGTTACAAGAGCTGGATAGGCCGCGCGGTATGTAAAAAGGTAGTGCAGTTCATACCTGTCGGTAATCAGTTTAAAACTTTCTTCAAAATCTGTTTCAGTGTAATGTGTATTATTAGTAAATTAAAATAGGCACTTGTGCCCCAACGTTGCTAAAAATTTGCTTTTTCAAGCTCCCAGGATGACATATTAAATGCCACTGACTGCTACAAAGCAAGGTGTGTCTGCTCCTAAATTGAAATTTTGCTGCTTCAAAAACTGCTCCTAATTCAGTCTCCGCCGTCCCCCCCCTGTGTCATGCACGGCATCACTGTGACACGTTGCCTCTCGTACCCTGTCGTCTTCACCCTCACTTCTCAGCTTCCTACCTCGTTAACGGTGCTTGCTCTCATGTCGAAAAAAAATTGGCGTCTCATCGACGTTGCCAATCTGGCCGAAATCATAGCTGTTTAGTCTGAGGAGATCCAGCACATGTGGCTGAGGAGCAACGAGTTTGTCATCAAAATCGCTTGGCAGCTTGTGGCATATTGTGGTCCGGCGTCTCGAAAGAAATTTCATTCCTTCACATTATGCGCTCCACCCAGCCACAGCTAGCCCAGAACACCGCATGGGGAATCTTCATTTTCCTAGCGGTCTCCATTGTCTTCATCTGGATAGCATCGGCAGTGACAGCGAAGCCCCTGTTCCTTTCACTGTAAACAAACTCGCAAACTTTCTCTTTGAGTTCAGGGTGTCAGCCCTTGCACGGTCCCGTGAATTTCTTGTGAGCCGCAGCGTCTTTGAGACTCTGGTACCGCTGCTTCCTCTGCCTAATGATGCAGGCTTGGTTCATGCTGAATTCTGCTGCAGCACTGTGGTTACCATTGTCCTCTGCAAACTCTCCGTGCTGTTGGGACAGTTGGAAAGAAACCTGCTGGCAGGCAATCTCGGAGGCCATGCTCTCGCTATCCAGGTTCCCTCCGGTGTTACAAAGTGGCCTTTAGGTGTTCTGATTTTACGGCTTTCCAAGGCATGCTTCACTTTTTTTCAACTTTGTGGCGAACGATCCACTGATGACAAAATAGTCTGCTCTGGTGTCAATGCGAACTGTCATGCTATGTCAATAAGAATGTCGAGGTCGCTAGTTTGTTGTCTCGTGTTGCAGTTGGCTCAGGTCATCAGGTCTCGACTGTGTCGGTTTGTGTCACTGCTTTCATGTTGTGTCATCAGGTCTTCCTCGGTCTCTGAGGTTTCGTCGTCCGGGCTCTGTTTGCTTTGTTCTGCAGGTTTCGTTGCAGCGGCGTTGTCGTCATCGAAGGATCTTTGGCATTTCGCCGCACAGCAAACACATCTCTATCGATTGCTGTCCTTAGTTTTATAGGTAAGGGCTAGGTGATCGGCCCTGGGTTGAGCCCATGTATGGTTGACGGTGCGGCAGGATGTGGTAGTTGGACTATAGCGAATAATATGGTCGTCACCATTGTGACTGTGCTCCGGTAATGTAGTTGTCGATGTCACAAGTTCACTTACCTGGCTGCAGATGTGGCGCATTGACGACAAAACCATGCAGCACCATCTGTCGGTACTGGCAGTGGCAGTAGGTTTGGCTGGCCTCCCTGCAGTGGTAGCAGAGCAGGCGGTTGTCATGGGTGTGCCAAATGTCAATGTTCATTGCTGTGCAGCCCTGGCCAACAGGGAGTCATACAGCATTGATTGCGGCGGTGTCTGGCAATGGAAAGCTGAGGTGCAGCGTCCTGATGCGGGTTTGGAGAGGCGTTGCAACAGACTACAGCGACATAGCTCATAGCTTTCAGCTGAGGCGGAGGTGCCTTGGGATTTCAGAGCGATTGCTAAACTTTCTCACGAACAATGTTGCCGATCGAATCCACTTGAAGCTTCGGTGAAGGTAACAGCTTGTGCAGCTCCTTCCAAACGATCACTTGGATGATTTTGTGCAGGTCGTCAGAGCTGAGGGCATGAGCTCCAGCGTAGTTGGCTGTTGAAGAGCAGCAGTTGTACTTCCTTGTTCACAGTTCACATCTCAAGTGCCTTCTCGATTGTTGTGGCCTCTTTAGGAAATTCATTGACAGTCTTGAGCTGGTTGCGGACAAGTATCCCAGACAGCTCTAGCTTGACATTTGACATCAGCAATTTGCTAAGACATGTTGCCGGGCTAGTTGGCTGGGGTTCATTGTTCATATGGGCGTAGCGCACCACAACAAAGACACAAAAGAGAAACATGCACGGCGCTAACTTGCAACTAATGCTTTATTTGCAATCACAGCTGCTATTTGTACAATAACAGTAGATCGATAAAACCTAGAAAACATGTAAAGATACAGCAAACCGATTGGGACAATCTGCATTCTCCAACATCAAAGCAAAGATTGTAGATACCTTTT